GGGTCACGACGAGGTGTTCCCCATAGCGACCCCTAGAGGACGCAGTGTCTCGTTCCCTAGTCAGGGAACCATGGTTACATAAGTAACCTGAGACGTTCTTTACCTGTTGAAATACCCATAAAACGCAGTTTTACACTTGCCAAAAAGTGATTACAGACTCTACTTATTGAGTGAACTGTTCTTTCTGCCTCAAATCACTTTTTGAGGGTTTTATTGGCCATTTAAAGGTATTTTAACAGGTAAAAAGGACTGAATGAGCTATAATCTATCAAATATAACAGCCATGAATGAAATAGTCATTTTGAGTCAGAAAGAACAGTTCACTCAATAAGTAGAGTCTGTAATCACTTTTTGGCAAGTGTAAAACTGCGTTTTATGGGTATTTCAACAGGTAAAAAGGACTGCATACATAAAATGCAGTTTTACACTTGCCAAAAAGTGATTACAAGCGCCAATCAGTTTTCGGCAGAGATCAATTTTCGGCACGACACCGGAACGGCTTCCGCGTATGACAGATAACAGAAGTGAGAGAAAAGTGTTTATTACGTTTGAAATATGGATATTTTTCTTACAAAAACACATGGATTCACTACAGGGGGGGCCTTTATTCATCCCCCGGAGCCGTCTGCGGCACGTTTTATTATGAATGCGCGAGCTTTATTTGACGACTGTTCAACTGCAACACCCACTCACTGCAATGATAGAGCTTGGAATAGCCAGGACAATTATTAATATAACTCCGACTGGATTTGTCTGAAAGAAGAAAGTCATATACACCTAGGATGCCTCGAGGGTGAGTAAAACACAAGCTAATTTTCAGTTTTGGGTGAACTAACCCTTTAATCGGTTTCCAGATTAAGGTCTTAAGGACAGAGATCAGGGAACCAAGGATGCACAATTTCGGAAATGAGAAGCACCCAAACTGCAGAACTAGCAGCAGAAAAGAGTCATGGTGACTGTGCACAGTTCTTTTGCTTATAATCGGAGGTCTGGCACTGGGTTTTGTAAACTGTGGTCATTGCGGATTTTAGTGAAATGAGATGTTTCTGTCTACTATTCACACATTCATTCAACAATGAGTTGTTGATGTCTTAGCGACATCTCATTTCTTTTTGGCCCACTGGCCCCTTCTAGTTTGGCTGGATTATTCAAATCTGTCAAAACACTACCACTGCACATGTCTAATAATTTTTTTTCTGCCCATGCAACAGAGCACTCAACCACAGGGTCTCTCTGAACTCTCTGAATGTACTGACTCAAAAAGCTAGATTATTGCTATTCAATCGGCATATGTGCAAATATTAAAATATTTTAAATTGCTTATCGGTACTTATTGGTATGGGCAGGACACAGATGACTCTTTACAAAAACAATTTAAAAAAAATCAACTGGTGAATGTTTTATTTTTATACCATTTTATTTGCAATTCCATGTACAAAATGACAATAAGTGCAGTTTACATTCACATAGGACTTTCAATTTTTCGTACCTTCATCCATGAAAAGACAGTTCACTGGGGAAAAAAAAGACACACTTGAAGCTTTCAGTCAGTCCAAAATGATTAAGAGTTGAAAAATACTGTCCGTCCATCTCTTTTCCAAGCCGCTTGTTTTAATACTAACTGTAATAAAGTAGCTTACCAATGCTGATTGGTTTTATTAGTTAGGCTGTTCGACTGTTCGACTGAACTCATCTTATCTATATTGGAATACCAGCAATAATAAGAAAATATTAACCCATTACAGAATGACCCAATACATTTGCAATTTATTAAGGGTCATGGTAAATCCAGTGATCATGAAATCAAATAAAATTACAGGCTTACGTTAACTTGATTGAAAAAAAAAAGACAAATACAATTGAGTAATGCTCAGAAATGGTGCACTCATAATTAAAAATGTTGAGCTTAAAATCTTAAAATCTAGCAGACTATGATTATATTTATTAACATCTAACATCTGTAATACATCGAAAATAGTTTTTCTGTGCAAATCGTTTACATTTCAAGAGCAAATTAAAATGTACAAATACTTGAATAAACACGATTTTTAAAATACTTTCTAAAAATAGTTGTTTCTGAGTAAAGAATATGGGTCAAGAAAGCTTCAGACCAAAGCTGAAACAGAGTTGAGCTCCTTCTCACTGTAGGCCCTCACAACATCCTGTCACAGCGATCTGGACTGGCAAGGGTCTGTTGTCCGTTTCTGAGCTGGCGGCACTGCGGCGGTGCAGTTCAATCCCCAGCCAGAGGGGGGCTATAGCTGTTCCTCACACTTCCAGCATCCTCAACCCTCTAACTGCCACTGCTGAGACCGGGAATCATCACAGATCGCCATGGTAACATATCCTTTAATGCTGAGAGGGTCAGCAACAGCCAAACACTGGCCCACTGACACCTGGTATAGCCAGTTATTTTTCTGAGGGGACAAAAAAAACATGTATTATTATACTTATTTTGTTCATTTAATTACACATGGCATTTGAAGCAAAGCACATAATGGGGCCTATACAATAAGCATGAAGTGTACATGACAGTTTCAATCACTTAAAAAAAAATCTGACTATATATTGTTACTTTTTTTTTTAACATACCAAATATGTATTTATATTTATATAGCCTTCATTTTGCATAATACTAAAAACAAACTAGGCTTTGTTAAAAAAAAAAAAAAAACTATGAAAAGATTACTTGGTAATCAAAATAGCTGGTAGTTGCAGCCCTAGTGTACAGGGGATACATGAGGTAAAAGACAGTAACGGGAAGATTTCTCACCCCCAGCGTCCACTGCTGAGATCCACCTGAGCCGTGACACTTCATGAGGCGCGGCGGGTCAGAAGAACGAATCTCAGACATGTCCAAACACAGCAGCCCGGCTAGAATTAACTCATGCTCTTCATCATACGCCCATTCCTGCAAAACACGCACAAAAACACAAAACATCTACACTGCACTGATCATAAAACTGAAAATATGGTCTTCTGATATCTTTAGATATGATACATTTCAACCTGTTTCTTTTCAGACGTATCAAACTTGTTTAACAGTACAATTTAGGGCTGCAAAACAATTAATCGCATTCAAAATAAACGTTTATGTTTACATACTTTGTGTGTGTACTGTGTATACTTATGTATATATAAATACATACGTATATATTTAAAAAAATATCTGTATGTATATATATATATTTATACTTGTATATAATTTATATTATATATATAGAAATACAAATATGTTATATATAAATCTAATATTTTTCCTTAATATATACAACATGTGTGTGTATTTATATATACATAATAAATATACACAGCACACCCACATACAGTATGTAAACAAACTTTTATTTTGAAAGCGATTAATCGCTGTTAATCATTTTGCAGTCCTAGTACAATTGTCTACATTTTGTTTATATCAGTCTAACTATGGCATATAACAAATCAGTTTTTTTAGCTGAGAAAAAAAAAAACATTTTAAACTACAGCAACAGCAACTTTTTAGACCGATGAGCTTTGTAAAAATCGAGGCGTTTCAAAAAGGCGGGGCATAGAGGAGAAACAATAATGTACACTATGTGGAAAATTATGTGTTTTTTTAACTTTAAACCGCATAAACACATTTCATTACACCAAATACACCAAATAATGTTCTTTTTAGCAGCATCATATGACCCCTTTAATGAATCGTCTGACCAGTTACTGTTCAAGACTGCCCTCTGCTGTTTAAACAGACGGCTGTCAGTTCATTTCACACAGCTCTGTATTCACTTCTTTCACTTTGAATACAGTAATGGAAAGATTACAAAAGAGTGTTTGTATGCTGTGAGAGTCAAACCTAGAAAACAACAGCCAAACCAATTATTGAGCAACAGTGCTACAGGGTACGGGAAATATAAGGGTCAATGTGAGGTCTTACCTGACCCCGCTGCAAGACTTTGGGTCTCTTCAAACCCTTGTTGATAAAGACAGGCTGCTGGGGCTTGTGTGGGGAGGAGACCTGCATTTCAGGATAGATATTGTCCAGGTACCATTTGAAGGAATGACACTGTAGACGCTTCCGAATAGCGACCCGCTCGCTGATGTCACCGTAGTCACTGTTCCTCAGCTCCGGGCGCAAGGCAAAGTACTGCTCCTGATGTACACATACACACATGCCATAGAAATGTTCAATTATCACATAAGATACTAATTTAGGCATCATGTATAGCAAGTCTAGTAATTCTATAATACACTGCAATGACATCAGTGAAAAACTGACATGGTGTAACTGTTGAGAACTCAAGTGTTACATAATGTGTTCTTGAACTGATGTCAGAGTTATCCATAATGAAGTACCCATCAAGTAAAAAGAACATGCGAACAGCGTTACGAAAAATAAAAACTCCCACATTGGCTGGAAAATAATTCAACACTATTTACACATCACTGAAGCAAAAAAAAAAGAATAAGACTAAACAAATATTGCTGAGAAAGTAGCTGACACTTAAGCAGGATCTTGAGAATAACCGGTTGGAGCAGAGCATTAATGTGTCTGACACAGGTAATTACATTCTCCTCTAACTGGGTCAATTATCTCTTAGACGAGGAGCCTTTGAAGTTGTGTGGGATGGACGCAGCTGGAAAATTCAAATACGCATGAAGAATTTCACACATCTCCATCATGTAATGAACCACGCTGCACGTGTTGCCAACAGCATTGAACAACTAACAGCTCTACAGCTGTCAATGTCCAACCCAGCAAAAAACAATCAATTTATTGAGTGACCTTAAAGAATCGGGGTCAGGGTGGACATGTTTTTTTGCTTTACAAAAAGAACACAAAAAAACAACAACATGTAATACCTGCTCTCATCTGTCTGAAAGGTCAAACTTTGCAAGTTTAAGGGTGGCATACAATACACAATCTCTATAAAACACTAGGTATCACACATTTTCCAAAATTGTAAATGGTAGAAACGCTGGGCATCATACACATACTGACTGAGAAAAATCTTACCAGACTATCAAAACGCAACAAACTTCTGCAGAAACATGCACCTTTCATTGCTAGGAGACACATGACAAATGAAAACAATGTGTTCTTAAAGGGGTCATATGATGCGATTTCAATTTTTCCTTTCTCTTTGGAGTGTTACAAGCTCTTGGTGCATAAAGAAGATCTGTAAAGTTGCAAAGACTAAAGTCTCAAATCCAAAGAGATATTCTTTATAAAAGTTAAGAGTCAGCCACGCCTACCTAAAACGGCTCGTTCTAACACGCCCCCAGATATCTATGTCACAATGTGGGAAGATTTGCATAACACTGCCCAAATGTTCACGCAAAGAAAGAAGGCGTAACTTTTATTCTCGCTGTAGTATTTTTGCCGCCGCCGCCATGTCGTGAAGGCGCTGTGTGATTCGTTGTGAAAGCGAAACTACTTTGTTTGGCCTTTCAAAAATGGACACGACTAGAAATCAGTGGTTAAGTTGTATTTACAACACTGTTCCAGAACACTTCAACCCAAATATTCAGATGTGTGCAGCACATTTTATGGAGGACTGTTTCCTGATCCTGGGAGAGTAGACTACAATGCCGGCTGTTCTGACTCACAGACTGTAAGTACGTTTTTTTATATTTAAAGAATTTGCCACTGATGATTCAAACGCGAGTTTTGAGCAGTGTAGAGTAGGGCTTGGGAGAAACAATAATGTACAGTATGTGGAAAATAATGTGTTTTTTGAACCTTTAACCGCATAAACACATTTCATTACACCAAATACACAAAATAATGTTCTTTTTAGCAACATCATATGACCCCTTTAAATCATCTCAAAATATCAAACATGTTTGATACCCCCTGACTGCATGAAATCATAGTATAAAGCTAGAAAATAAAAGTCTGCGTGCATCATGCACTGTCATTTTCTATGAAATAAGTCAATTACGACTGCACAAAATTTGCAGACTCACTCTGACTTTCAGCAATTCATGTTCAAATACTCCAGACCGCAAATTGGGCCATAACAAATACATTTTTTTTTTAAATAAACCGTCAAACCTCAATCACAGACCTGGCTCAAAAAATACAATTAAACTACAATATTGACAAGAAAAGACTGAGCAATTATCACCTTTGAATCCCTCTGCAAATGCACATGAACACACTACTTAAGATAAAAAAAACACTGTATACCTAAGTTTAATATTACACAGCTCTATAGTATACTTGATTCTGATTGGTCAATCACAGCATTCAGTGGTCCATTTATTCAGGCAATGCTGTATAACTGGCCACTCTTCCAGGAAACTAATCCATTACATAGTGGTGCTACAATCAAGTTTCTCATATTACAATGCAAGCTCTCTTACATATAAATGCTAAAAGATAGAAGAGTTAAAGTATTATTTGCAACATGTATAGCATTTTATTATTAATTTTATAAGAGTATTATGCTATTGATCTCCACCTTATAGTCATCCATCCAGACATGGGCCAAACGCAGAGAATTGTGGGCCATTGTATCCTGACCTCCGGGTGACCCATAGGGCCGACGCTTGCGGAAGATGTGCCCCACCCTGGAGCAGGGAACGATCAGTAACTGGCCTCCACACATCCAAATCTGATGGAAAAAAATATTTTAAAACAAGTGAGTATAATTTTAATCACCAAGAGTAAATTAAAATGTCTAAACCAAGGGTTCCCAAACCTTTTTGTCAGCCAAACCCCTTAAATGCAAAATGTTTACTTGAAGTAACCCCTGAGAAGAATTTCATAGTTCTCTAATATCGGTTATTGGCCAAATGAGATGCAAACAAAATATCTAATGCTTTTGTTGTGAGACAGACAGACTCTTGCCATTTGAAATGTGAGGAGACATTTTTATATTAAATTCTATTTTGTATTGCGACTGCAAATAACAAACACAGTACTGCTCATGGAAATATTTACTTTTAGGGTGTTACTCTTTACAAGAACCAATGAGAACTACAAGTTACAATACAAATATTTAAACACACGGCATTTCCAAATGCATGTTAAATTCAAAGTGTTTGCTGGGATGGAGTTAGTGAGTAGCAGTATTGACGGTGAACAGAGCCGAAATCGGAAAACACACTATTATAAAGCTGCAAGCGTGTAAATGAACACTTTGAAACATGCAACAGACTACATACTTCAAATCGCAGCCTTTGATTTAGTAATTAAAATTTTATAAGACTGCTATTTCAAGTTTTATTTGAAGTACAGAGCCGAAATCGGAAAACACACTATTATAAAGCTGCAAGCGTGTAAATGAACACTTTGAAACATGCAACAGACTACATACTTCAAATCGCAGCCTTTGATTTGGTAATTAAAATTTTATAAGATAAGACTGCTATTTCAAGTTTTATTTGAATTATGTAGCCTCATTTGTTTATTTTAATGTTAAATTCAATTGAATTATTAACTTCACCAACTCCTGCAATCCCCTCATGGTTTCGTAAGAAAGAAAGAAATAACCAAACAATGTCTTAAAAGTAGACAAAATGTACCCGAAAAGAGATCTCCAAGTTCTCTCCACCCCAGATGTCCATGCCGCGGTCATACTGACCAAGCTCATAAAAATAATTCCTGTCCATGGCGAACAGCCCACCTGCCATCGTGGGAGACCTGCAGAGAAATGTGACTGGAGTCATACCAGCAAAAGTATGAACAAACCCAACTGAATTTCTTTCACATGACTCTAATGAGACAAGCATAACGTGTGCCTATACATGAATATCTTTCTAAAATTATTATTATTATAATTTTTTTGTAAAATGAAAGTTTTGATTTAATATTTCCGTCACTAAATATGTCCCATACTTTAATTAAAGGGGTCATATGATGCGATTTGAAGTTTTCCTTTCTCTTTGGAGTGTTACAAGCTGATTGTGCATAGATAAGATCCCTGAAGTTGCAAAGACTAAAGTCTCAAAACCAAAGAGGTATTCTTTATCAAAGTTAAGACTCTGCCACGCCCCCCTAAAACGGCTCATTCTAACACGCC